CGGGGGGGAGGGGGAGACCGCAGGTATAAGCCAAGATTGTGGCCTGAGTCATCTCCCCACCCCCCACCAGCTTTCTTTTTGGTTAAAATATCCAGCCTGAGGCAGAGTTCTGGAGAACTTGCAAGTTTGCAGGTTGTTCTTGTGTTATTTCCGTGGCTCCCGATGAATGGCGTTCTCGAGCTCCAAGGCCGTTAACCCTTAGGTGGCCGCAGCCCTCAAGGAAGGGAGGTGAGGTCAGTGGTAGTGGTAGAACCTGCCTCTGAATCCAGATGCCGGAGTTGACCACGGGGGGGCTGGGTGTCACCAGCACACCCTGCCGCATGGGCTTCCCAGGAGCAATTGGCTGGCCACAGGTGAGAACACGATGCTGCTGCAGATGGGCCGTCGGGACCTGACCCAGCCGGGCCGTTCTGGAGCTCCTGGGAGGAGGGTGAGAGGAGGCCCGTCTCAGCGGCAGCATCCCCACGTCCTGGGCCTGCCTGGTGACCGGATCCTGCCATGCTTCCACCTCCAGCTACGGTCGCAAGCTTTCCCGGCCTGAGCTTTTCCCGATTGACCGAGAGGTCCGTTCTGACCAGTGGGTCAGACAGTCGCAGTCCGCTTGTTGAACAGAGAGGCTGTGTCAGTTTCTGCTGTTGGGGAATGAGCTTCTCCCCGCTCACAGCTGCAGTTCATTACGCTGCGATTATCTCCAAAAGGCCCCGATTTTGAGGGATTGGCACGACGGATGTTTATTTTCAAACACGATCAGTTAACCAGCCTGAAGGTAGCTAATGAATCGGCCAGTTCTGGATCCCCTCCCCCTCCCCAAGCGCCCTTCCCTCCCGACCAAGGGTGGCTCTTTATCCCTTGCCTTCCCGCAGGGTAACAACGATGACCTGATCCTCTCCTGCTGCCTCCACTACTGCAACGACAAGGCCAAGGACTTCATGCCAGCGAACAAAGGTCTGTGGGGATCCATCCTGGGCCCCAGGGGTCAGGTACAATCGTGCCCTGGAGGTGCAGAGCTGACAGGAGGGGAGGGAGGCTTGTCTCAGAGTGGAGCAAAGAACAGATCTATCAGTGACTGCTAGTCAGGTGACGGGGGGGGGGAACCTCCAGGTTCAGAGGCAGTCAACCTCTGAATCCCAGAGTCAGGAGGCAACTTCGGGAGAAGGTCTCTCTGTCTTTTTGTTGGCCCTCCAGAGGAGCTGGCTAGCCACTGTGTGAGACAGGGTGCTGGACTAGATGGACCACTGATCTGATCCAGCAGAGCGCATCTTAGATTCCTGTCAGGGGAAGGCCTTGGCCTCTGTGCCCTGTTGTTGGCCCTCCAGAGGAGCTGGCTGGCCCCTGTGTGAGACAGGGTGCTGGACTAGGTGGACCACCAGTCTGATCCAGCAGGGCGCATCTTAGATTCCTGTCAGGGGAAGGCCTCAGCCTCTGTGCCCTGTTGTTGGCCCTCCAGAGGAGCTGGCTGGCCCCTGTGTGAGACAGGGTGCTGGACTAGGTGGACCACCAGTCTGATCCAGCAAAGCGCATCTTAGATTCCTGTCAGGGGAAGGCCTTGGCCTCTGTGCCCTGTTGTTGGCCCTCCAGAGGAGCTGGCTGGCCCCTGTGTGAGACAGGGTGCTGGACTAGGTGGACCCCTGGTCTAATCCAACAGGGCTCTTCTGATGGGGTGGTGGTTTCTGCCCATTCACCGCCAATGTTCCCTCTAAGCTGTGGAGTCTTTTGAGCAAAAATTCTACTTTGTAAGCTCCTAGCATTAAAGTTGTGAGCAAGCAATGTGGCTACTGCATAAATTAGTTTGCTCTGGAGCCCTCCTCCTGTGTGAGCTGGAGGCTAAAAAACTGTGAGCTGGCTCACACTAACTCAGCTTAGAGGGAACACTGTTCACCACCCACATTCCCACTCTCCTCTCCCCAGCCAGGTGACTCCTGTGGGATGACTTGAACTAGCTTCGTCCCCCTGGCATCCAGGGAGTGGGTCAGCCTGGCGGGCAGCGGCGGAGGGTTCCGGCTTCTCCCCCTGCTCCACCCTCGCCTTCTTTTTGCTTTCTTCTGCCTCCGCCAACCAGTCGGCCCTCCCGGCCATGCCGGAGCCCTTCCCGAGGCGGGAGGGCAGCCGCTGCCCAAGGCCCCGCCGTGCATTTCTTGGGCCGAATTCTCAGCAGCTTAACTTGTCAGCTTGACAGAGAAGGCGTTTCTGTGTGTTTACGCCTTGCTGGGGCAGAATCGGACGATCAGGGGATTATGGCGGATGGGGCCTGACACTCTGACAGTCTCTGTTTTGTAACAATCTGCCGCGTTGCCTGGCCCGAGAAAGGGGATGGTTATTGTTAAGCCCCTTCCGAAGGGATCCGGGCCACAGGCCACGCAGGCTCTCTGAGGCTTGGCGGGCCTCGCCGGAGGCACCGGCCCGCTCCGTTAACCACCCCGCCTCCCCAACCCTGCGCTCTTCCAGATGACCCGATCCGGCTGCTTCGGGAGGTGGTGCTGCTGACGGATGACCGGAACCTGCGCGTGAAGGCGCTGACCCGCAACGTGCCCGTGAGAGACATCCCCACTTTCCTGAGGTGGGCGCAGGAGGGCTGAACAGGCCGAGGCCATCCCCGGATGTCACGCAGCTCTTTGCCTCCAGGAAGGGCGGCCTTGAGGCGGGCGGCCACGGGCTGAGCCCGCAGCAGCCGCACCAGAACAATAAATGCAGCCTCTCCAACCCCACCCGGAATGGCCGTGCTGTGGGTGCAAGAGGAGGAGAGAGAGAGAGAGAGAGGTGCACGCTGGGAAGGTTGGGGGCTAGAACCCTTAGGATTGTTGGGCCTTTGGATGGGGAGGAACGTGCCCCAAGAGAGGCCCCGGGGGGGGAGGGGAGAAAGTCCCTTAGATCCTCCCTCTGAAAGGCCAAAGCGAGGCCACCAAGTGTGGAGGTTTTGAACTGTTTCCGTTGGGCCCAATCCACCTTCCCTCCTTAACAGCAGTGCCCGGTCACCGTGTCAGCGCAGCCCCCCTTTTGACACCTCCAGGGTACCAAGCTAGCCCCTTTGCCCCTGCCCGTGCCACCCGTTGTGCAGTTGCCCCAAAGTTTCTGAAAACCCCCCCCTCCTGCCGCTCCCCTTCGGGGGTCCTTTGGCTGTCACCCCTCATCCCACCCCCTGGGTAAACTAGTTCGCTGAGGTAATTTTGAGGGGGACGAAAGGCTTGAAGCCGGCGGGGAGGCAGGGTGGTTCCCCTCATGAAGGGGGACGTTGAGGTAACGAGGTGGGGAATTTCGAGTCCTCACAGATGCCAGAGCCTCTTTGGAGACCTAATGGGGCGAATGCCTGCCGGGAGGGGCCTCGTCCTGCCGGGAGACGTTAAGGCCGGCGGTGCCCCCTGTGGGGAGGAGTCTCATTGACCAGAGGGTATCCAAAAGAGGGGCCAAGACAGCCGCATTGTTGCCCTCCCTCAGGGCCTTGGGTCAAGGGCGACTCTGACTCAGTGAGTGGAGACCAGGCATCGCGACTTGCCATGTGTTGGGGAAAGCCTTTGACAATAGCTTTGCCTCTTGGTGAGAGTTTGGTGGAGGGGTGCCTCCCTCCCTGTTACGAGCTGGCCCAGAGAGGGAACAGTCTCTTCTGCCTGCGGAGGCTCCGCACTCAGCATCGTTGGCGCCTGCACACCAGGTAAAGGCGCGGATCCATCCAAGCTGAGGAAGAAGGGCTGAATGTAGCAGTTTCTCGCAAGGGAGCTGCCCGCTCGTATTGCTTTTGCCTGCCTGGGTTTGATGGAGGGTTTTTGCCGATTTGTGTTACGTTGTTTTCTTAATAAATTTTTAGTAGGGAATACTGCTGTGTCCTGCCTCGTTTCATGGACAGGGGAAGTAAGGCAGCGATCCCAGTGGGGGGGGGGGGGGGGAGGCCTTTGACTGGAGAAGAGCTGATGGGATGGAGGGAGCTAGACTTGGCGGTGGGCTCACCAGACCCCAAGAACCTCCCATTTTTAAAAAAAATCTGTTTCAGAACACAGTAAAACAATGCAAGGTTTTGACTATCACAGGTCTCTTCAGCAATCAGAGATCTGAAGAAGAATTCTGTGAAAGCCCAAAGTTGGTATGTTTCAATGTCAGCCTTGATCTGATTTAGAGAAAGGACTACATTTTGCCTCTCATTAGAATCTGTTGGAACTTAGTGAGGTGTAAATGGAGAGCCTCCCGCTTCCTTCTCTCTCCTCTTCCCACTGTGAAAATACTGGTCGAGACTGAGAAGAGGGCAGATCTGACATCAGAAGCATCTGGCATGATGGGTAACAGGTCAGGGGGCAGCCTCAGAGGCCCCTAGGGCTACCAACCTCCAGGTGGGGCCCGGAGATCTCCCACTTTTAAAATTCATCTCCAGACTAGAGATCTTGTCCCTTGGAGAAAATGGCAGCTTTACAGGGTGGAGTCTATGGCACCGAACCATGCCGGGGGGGGCCTTCTTCCCCAAAGGGCTCTTTGAACCCCACCCTCTCCAGGACCCATCCCTTCCCAGATCTCCAGGTATTTCCCTACCTGGAGCTGGCAACCAGAGAGGCCCACCAGGTTGTCTCCTTTTCCCTGAAAGAGGCCGAGGCTGGCAGAGCCTGGCGTGTCTGCCTCAGTTAGCAAATGGCACCCGTTCCCCTGTCGCCAGCCACGGAAGGACCAAGGCGCACGTGCAGAAGAGCTGCATTCAAGTCTGGCAGAACCTCCAAGACCATCAACCTTTCCAGAGGATGAGCTTTTGAGAGTCCGGGCTCCCTTCTTCCCTCCTGCAGGTTTGGCCCCTTTTCCCCCCCAGGGCTGCCCTCTAAATGCAAAAAGCCCAGCCTCACGTACGTTCCTAGCAGTCGTTCTGGGAGAAGGGGAGTAAGAGACGTTGAGTGTCATGGTGAAAATGCCCCACCTGGACAGCATGCCCTTCCTCGCCCTCAATTTTGGAGTGCCGTGTTCCTGAGCAGGGCAGCGTCTCCCGTTTGATCCCAGCAACAGCCCGGTGAGATAGGGGGATTTAATTCTCATCCCTTCCACCAAGGTCAGTCCTCCCCACTGGCTCTCCCATACATTAGAAGAAGAAGAAGAGCTGGCTTTTATACCCCGCCCTTCACTACCCAAAGGGGTCTCAGAGTGGCTTACAGTCACTTTCCCTTCCCTCTCCCCACAACAGACACCCCGTGAGGTAGGCGGGGCCGAGAGAGTTGTGACTGATCCAAGATCACCTTCGTGTGGAGGAGTGGGGAATCAAACCCGGTTCTCCAGATTAGAGTCCGCCACTCTTAACCGCATCGCCAAACCGGCTCCCCTGGCACGTGGGGCACCTCCTGGCACTCTTCCCCCATGTCTGCGGGCACCAGAGTCTCTCTGGCCTTTGCCTCTCCCAGCCCCACACAAGCAAGGAGAGGCCTCGTGGTGGTAAAGAAAACTTTTATTGCTGGCGTTTGGTTGGTTGGTTGGTTGCTTGCTTCCGGTATAAAAGAGGGGAAGTACATCCAACGTACAAAAAAGCTACCTGAGGCACAGCAAGGTTTGCCCCTTCTGGGTGCTTCGGTTTGGCTCGGGAGAGGGGCAGCTGGCTCAGGTGAAGGCACAGACCCATGGGGGGCTTTTTGCCTTGTGTGCAAAAAGTGAAGTTTCACATTCTGTCCGGCTTTTGGTTGCAAACAGAGGGAGGCCACGAGGGATTGTGGGGTGGGTGGGTGTTTCCCCCGCATTCGCACACACCCTCCCGATAAGTGCAGGTGACCGGCAAGCACCAGACTCCGGTTAGGGACACACCTCCCATCCCTCCCTGCTGGTCCCAAGAAATTGCACATGGCAGGAAGTCCCTGGGTGAGAGGTTCCTTCCTGCCCCTCGAGGGCAGTGAAGAGGCCACTCCCCCTGGGACTTAGTAGAGATTGGGGGGGGGGGTCCTCCCTTGGGAGAAAGAAAAGGGAGCCCCCCCCAAAAAAATAACCTTTGGCTTCAGAAGTGGTTGGAGGTGCGGGTCCAGGCAGTGCTTTCATGTGGGTGCTGGAGAGTCCACCCTGGGAAAATCTCCCCCTCACACCCCCCCCCCAAATGTCTGTCACATTGCAAAGCGGTCCATCCCTTGGGCTGCTGTCACAGAAGCAGCCCAAGCCATCTCCTCAGACTCCCCCAGCCACCAGGAGCGCCCCCCAGAAGAGACCGCCTGGCCAGGACCTCCAGCCAGCCCGGCCCAGACGAGAGGCGTCTCCCAAGCAGGCAGGCAGGCTGATGGGCCCAGAGCCGGAGGGGCCTCCCTTTCCTTTGCAGCGCTTCAGGGACACCCCCAAGAACAGCCGCCTCTGCTTGGCTGGAGTCCAGGCACCAGAAGGTCAACCAGGAGGGGACCCTCAAGCAGACTCGGACAGAGAGAAAGAACCCCGGATTGTCTGCTTGCAACTCTGGGGGTGGGCTGCAGGCCAGACTAGAGGGACTCCTCTGGCAAAGGGGGCTGCGACAAAATGGGCCCCTCAGTCATTTGGAAAAGTTTTTCTCTACCTCTTGGAGGAGCAGAGTCCATCAGGCGGCGGGGGGGGGGCAGTCTCAGGGCTGGGCCCCTTCGAATGGCCGGTAGGGGAAATCATTCATGTGCCCCCCCCTTCACACACACACACACAGATCCTTCCTGCCCATAGTAAACTCGTGGATTAGGGGAAAGGACTGGCGGCGGCAGGCCTCTCCTTGGCGCTCTGATTGTGCACAGAGGAAATTCAGAAATAGGACAATCCCACCCCCAAATGGTCGGGGCTGACCATTCTCCCCGCGGGCACAATCCTTCAGCCCCCTCCTGCGCCACAGGTCGGGGTCCCGCAGTCGCCTCCCTTCTTACCCACGCCTACCAACGCAGAAGGGAGCGTTTTGTTGGGGGGGTGCATTGAGGTAGGGTCAGATTCACGGTTCCCTGGAGGGGGGGGCGGGAGCGCAGGTCCGAAGTGGCGGGAAAGGGGGAGGCCGCCGACCAGGACTCCCCCGACGCCTCCCCGACGCCCCAAGGGAAGGCAGTCCCTCCGGCTGGCAGAGCGCCGTCCCCAGCCCGCCCCAGGAGGGCGGCGGCGGCGGCGGCTGCAGCGGCGGCCGCGGCGGCAGCGCCCTGGGCCAGCACCTCGGCCGCCTTGTCGGGGCTGAGTCCGAGGTAGAGGCTCTCCATGGCGACCTTGGGGTCGGCGGCGGCGGCCAGGAAGTGGGAGGTGTGCGAGAGCAGGTCCTTGTCCGGGTGCTGCTGCTGGGCCAGGCGCGCCATGGCCAGGACCCCGTCGGGGAAGTCCAGCTTGAGCTTGCCGTCGGGCCCCGTCGAGGCGGCAGCCGCGGCGGCCGCGGCGGCGTGCATCTTCATGTGGCTGAGCAAGTTCCGCTGCTGGGCGAACTTGCCGCCGCACACCTGGCACTCGTAGGGCTTCTCGCCGGAGTGGATGCGCATGTGCTCGGTCAGGCGGTACTGGCGGGTGAAGCGCATGCCGCAGGCGTCGCAGGCGAAGGGCTTCAGGCCCAGGTGGCTGCGCATGTGGCGCGTCATGGTGCCGCGCTGCGTGAACTTCTTGCCGCAGATGGAGCAGGGGTAGGGCCGCGTCAGCCAGTGCGTCTTCTCGTGCTGCCGCAGCGTGGCCGGGTCCTTGTAGGCCTTGTCGCACGACGAGCAGCGGTAGGGGCGCAGCAGGTCGCAGCCGCCCGGGCCCCCCGACGGCAGCGGGGCGCCCAGGGGCTTGTCCAGGAAAGGGGAGCCCTGCCCGGCCGCCGCCTCGGCCGCCTCCTTGCGGTACAGCTCGTCCTCCTCGTTGTGCGCCTCGACGTGCGCGTTGAGCTGCTCCGACGACGGGAAGCCCTTCCCGCAGGGGATGCAGACGTACAGGTTGTCGCCGCCGAAGCTCTCCGGCTCGTAGCCCAGGTAGCGCTCCAAGCTGCCGGCGGCCGGGGAAGGGCCCCCGCTGCTGCAGCCCGTCTCCTCGCTGGTGCTCTTGTCGTTCTCCAGGTCCTCCGCCTCCCCGTCGGGCTCGGCGCTGTCCAGGCTGGCGTAGCGGCGCTGCGAGGGCGAGGGCGCCTTGTGGTCCAGCTCCCCCTCGGCCCCGCCGCCCTTGTCCCGCCTGCCCCGGCAGTCCCCGTCCTCCTCCTCGTCCTCCTCGTCCTCCACGTAGCCCCCCACCAAGGGCTCGTGCTTCATCCAGCGGTACAGGAACTCTGGCGGCGCCTCCGCGCGCCCCGACGGCTCCGGCCCGGGGCTGCCGCGGTACGAGTCCGGCTCTCCGAAAGCGGGGTGGCCGGGCAGCAGAGCGCCGCTGACGGCCGGGCTGTCGGGCCCGGGGGGCAGCGAGCTCTCGCGGTTCTCCCCGCCGGCTCTCAGGCGGCTCTCGGAGGGGGCGGGCGGCGGCAGCGGCAGGGAAGGCCCGTTGGGGCTCTTCTTGGACAGGTCGAGTCCGCAGAGCGGCGAGCAGAGGCGCTCGGGGGGACACAGGCCGTGCGGGTGGAGCGCCGCGCCCTGGGAGGCGGCGGCGTAGAGCTCCCCGCAGTGGGTGCTGAGCGGGTTGCCCGCCTCGACCGGCCTGGGCGGCGGCGGGGGCGGCGGGGGCGGCGCGGAGTAGCAGCTCTGGATGACCGGCGTGGCGGCGCGGAGGGCGC